AAAAACTTCATTAACCTTTTCTTTCGAATTAAAAAAATCGTTTTTCAATTTTTCCACAGAATGTAACTTAAAAATATTTATAAAAATTATTCTGTAATTTTAAGTCACTTTGAATAAAACAAGAAATTTTTGTCGAATATTAATTTTATTCGATTATTAATCATTAATTATTAAGTAACAACAATAAATAATCATAAACGTAATAAATTATAAATAACAGTTAATTAATTACTGCAGTGAAAAAATTGTTAATTATTTACTATTATTTGTTACATATTTACTTATTTTATTAATTATATTATTACTTTATAATTAATTTATTATTTTATTAACTATTTTATTTATTATTATTTTTATTATTGTTATTATTTATATTATTAGTTATTAATTATACTATTAGGTATTAATATTATTTAATTATATTATTTAATTATTTTATTAATTATTTTATTAATTATTTTATTAATTATAATATTATTATTTTATTTATTATTATTTATTTTATTGGGTAATTTTTATATTATTAGTCATTAATTTTACTGCCTTTCAGGTAATAATTATAATTGTAAAAAATTTACCATATTGTTTACTGTAAATATCACCCTGTGAATAAAAATTGTGCACACAAAAAATTGGAAACTGTTGTATTTTATTTTATTTTTTTGAATTTTAATACCAAAAAAAAAAAATTAACGAGTAATTGTTTATTTTTTCAGGCTTATCAGCGAGAATATTTGAAAATCGAAGACACGAGAGGATGTTCTCGCAGAAATTTGAATGTCCTCGTTGTCGGAGATGTTATAGTGGAAAAACAAGCCTCTCAAGACATTTGAGAAAGGAATGTGGTGTTTTAGGAGCTCATCTTTGCGTCTTTTGTGGCTATCGTGCAAAGCACATGCAGACACTCCAGAGGCACATTTGGCGTAGACATCAATTATAATCATCATCATCATCATAAAAAAGAAATGTTATTCATTATTTTAAATAAAATTAATTCACAGCTTTAAAAACACATATTCTTGTTCTTTATTTTTTCTCATCTTTTTTTTTTATTTTTTTTCTTTTTCTATTTTAGTTTCATTATTTTTAAGTTTAAGTATTTTCTTTTAAGGAAAATTGTATTTTTTAGAAAATTATTTTTTTTACGATTTTAGTAAAAATTTTGCAATATTAAAAAATTGTATTTTGCATAATTTCTGTGTTACGAAAAAATTTTCAAATTCTGTAAATTCTAATAATTTGAATTTATTATTTATTTATTTAATACACAGCCCTTAGTCGCAAAGGATCATGAACGAAAAAAAAAATTTGAAATAATTTATATTATTCAAAATAATTTGGATAATTTACAATTCAAATAATTTATAATTCGAATAGTTTATAATAATTTCTAATAATAATTTGAATAATTTTAATAATTTACTTCTTTACTTATTTATATTATTTGTTTTATTCTATTTTTCATTGAAAATAAAATTTTATTCTATTTTCAATTAAAAATTAAATTTTATTCTATTTTCAATTAAAAATTAAATTTTATTCTTTTTTTAAATTAAAATTTAAAGGAAATAATTTTTTTTCATCGAGATTATAAAGTTTTTAGGGTGTTTTTTTAGTTTTTAGGTTTTGATATAGATTTTATTATTATTCTGATAGTATATTAAAAAAAAAAAATGCTCTGCCTTTAAAGTTATTGAAAAATGTAGTGGAAAAAAAAAAATACTTGTAGATTGCAATGCTTTCTTCCTGAGTGAGATTGGATTTTTGATTGTGCATTATTTAAAATGATTGTTAAAAAAAATTTTTTATTTATTAACAATTTTTATGCTTTTTGTGTTTGCAGCCTATCGAAAGATGTTCATGGGCGAAACAATGCTCGGCTACACTTGCACAAAGTGTAGTAAATTCTACAAGATGTGGAGCAACTACTTAAAACATAAATGCGAACCACCACAATTCAAGTGCTCCCTTTGTCCCTTCGCTGCTTTCAAGGCATTCATCCTCCACGCTCATCAAGCAGAACAACATTTTAAAGTCTCCTCATCAAATTCATAGTGACGCTAAACAGACAAAAAAAAATACAAAAATTTTTTTCTTTAAAAAAAAAATAAAGAAATTTCTTTCTTTGAAAAAAAAAATCAAGCAGAACAACAGTTTAAAGTTTTTTTTATCAAATTAATAGTGATGCTAAACAAACAAGAAAGAAAAAAGGAAAGAAAATAAAAAAATAAGCAGAACAATGTTTTGAAGTCTTTTTATTTAATTCATAGAGACGTTAAGAGAAAAGAAAGAAAGAAAAAAAAGAAAGAAATAGAAGCAGAACAAGATTTTAAAGTGTCCTCGTCAGATTTATAGTGACGCTAAAAGAAACGAAATAAAGAAGAAGAAAGAAAGAAAAAGGAAGACAAAGGAAGAAAATGCGAATAAAGGAAGAAAATAAAAATAAAAGAAAAATAAAAAATAGAAGAAGAAGAAGAAAAGAAAAAAATAGAAGAAGAAGAAAAACAAAAGAAGAAGAAGAAGAAGAAAAACAAAGGAAGAAAGAAAGATAGAAGAAAGAACGGAAAGAAGAATGAAAGAACAATGAAAATATAATGAAAGAATAAAGAAAGAAAAAAGATAGAAAAAAGAAAGAAAAATAAAAAAAAAAATATATTGAAAAAGGAATATGAAAAATTCCTTTAGTCATCGAAGTTCACAGGAATCTTCATATACCTTATAGAATTTATACGCACTTTGAAAATATTATTTTATTTTTCAAAGTATTTTAACCTTCTGTCGGTAGATTACCATCTTTAGCATAGAATTTTAAAAATAGAGGACGCGAGAAACCTGAAAACGCGTCAGGTCTATAGAAAGAGTCAGTTAGTGTATCTAACGTCCCCCCTTTTGTCTTTGTTTCTTAACGCATGCGCGTGAAATGCCAATCACAGTCACCAGCAACAATTGCGCATGCGCCACTGCATATGTCTCATTGGTAGGAAAAACCGCGTTTATTCAAAATTATTTACTTAAATACAATTAAAAAAATTAATTAAAGTTAGTTAAAAGAAATTAAATGCAATTAAAAAAATATTGAACTGTCAAATTAATAGTTTTGTTTTCGTAAATTTCGTGTGAAATGGATTAGAAATGGAATTTTACTGGTAAGGTGACGTCAGAGGGAAAAAAAGTAGTGACGCCGGGGAAAAAAGACTCGCGCAGCCGTTTTGCGCCTGCGCGAGACTTTTTTCCCCGGCGTCACTACTTTTTTCCCCCTCTCCTACACAGAAATGCCAACTTAATACATTTATTAAAAGAAAACCAATTTTGAAAAATACTAATCTCTAAAACTGATATTTTTTATTTCAGTAATTTTTTTCCAGTCAGAATTTTTAAAAAAATTTAGCAAAAATTAATGTCGATTTGAATTTAGAAAATATTATTACTAAACTTAAGTATTTAATTTCAGGGATAAAAATTATTTTTGTTTTTCTTAAATTTTTGTAAATATTAATGCTTTTTTAAATAAGCGCGGTTTTTTTCTACCAATGAGAGAGGGAGAGTGACGCAAGCGCAGTTGCCTCTCGCGACGGTCGTTGGCTCTCCGCGCGCATGCGTCGCTAGAGAGAGACAGAAGAGGGGCCGTTAAGTATGCTCCGTCTCTTTCTATCCGTCTGACGCTTCTCGTTTTCTATTTTTCTTTTTCTGTTCTTTAAGCGAATATTTCATCATTTACACCATTCGGACGAATGTTTCCTTCGAATTCACGACTTTTGATTCAGAGAGAGAAACATTTTTCCTCGAGTGTAAATTACTAAGAGACTGATTCGACCATTTTTTTTTATTATCAAAATGAATAGAAAAGGCAGAAGGTTCATTTAGTGTTTTATATTCATCATGATTTTTTAGACTGTTACCACTTATTTGCCGCTTACATTTCACGTTTTTAAAACGTACATATCAAGTATTAATGAAAATTAACAAAAATTAGTGAAAATTAAGGAAAATTAGTGAAAAATTAAGAAATATTAATTAATTATTCAAAAGAAAAATTGAGTTTATTTATTTTCTTAACAAGGGAAAAAAATTCTTTTTTGGTACTAATTTGTTGACAAAATGAGATTTATTTTTATATTTTATCGATTGTTTTTTTTTTTAATTTTAGAAAAAATACACGTTTTGGAAACGTGTTAAAAAGCATAATTACTTTTAATAAAAAACAAAATGACTGGCTTGATAAATATAATTTTAATTTTTCCTTAAGCAGATTTTGGTTCAATGGGAAGAAAATTTTATTTTCAAAAGGCGAGGAAAATTTTCAAGACAACTTTTGAGTGTGAATTGATTTTATCAATACAACTTTGAATTACTATTTTTATCGTTTACTAAATTTTATTTTAAATTGTACTAAATTTGTACTAAGTTTACTAAATTTTAATAAATTGACTAAATTTTAATAAATTGACTAAGTTTTAATAAATTTACTAAGTTTTAATAAATTTTAATAAATTTACATAAATTTTAATTTTAAAAATGTCAAATTTCAGTCGATTTCCAGAAATAAATTTTTTTTTCTATTCCCCCAAAAAAAATCTGCTAATAAAATAAAGCTTTCGAGTATTGTACCGGTGTTTCAGTGTACACTTCAAGTGACTGACTCCCCTGATTATTATTATTATTATTATGAATATTATTAATGTCTTATTTTATCCGATATATTCTCATCATTAAAAATCACACATCCTTCCGCCTGAATTTTTTTTTTTTTTTGTCTCACAAATATTTGTAATAGTGCTATAATACCAAATTTTAGATCAGAAAAAAATAATTCGATTCGTGATATAACTATTAGAGAAGTAGATGTTTTGAAAAATGTACCTGTTTCGTGGTCTAAAATTTGGAGTGATTTTTTTCTTCTTCTTAAGACTGTATAAAGAAAGTCATGTGAGGCATTAAAAAGGTGGATTGTTATTTATGTGTGATGATAATTTTATCAATTTTCTTTATATTGCTGTATAATGTATCCCAACAATAATTTTTGTTGTTTGAATGATTTTTTGTTCCTTTTAAGGTTTGATCACATTTACTGTCCTACTATATAATGATAGTTATATACACGCATAAGTAATATCTTATTTATACATATGCATCTGTATTTTCATAAAAATATGAATAAAGTTTCGAAACCTATTTTATTCTCACGAAATAAAATTATTTACAACTTTTTTTTTTTTTTTTAAATCATTATACTGTTATAATGATTTATATACTGTTTTGCTATTTTTTACTCAGTGTGTAAATTTTAAATAGTAAATTTTTACTGCAATTTTTACTCACTTTGGGTAAATTTCTACTCTATGTTTTACTCACTGGGGTTTTTTTTACTTTAATTTTTTACTCACTTTGGGTAAATTTTTATTCTGCTTTTTACTCACTGCGAGTTATTTTAAATAATTTTTTGACTATTTCATGCGAAATATCAAATAATACAATTTTTTCAGTTTATAAAAAAGGAGTTAAATTTTTGTTTTTTTTAAATTAAGTTTTTGAGAAAATTTTTTCAGTTTTTAAGGAAAGGATTTTTTTTTTATTTGTCGGGAAATGGTAAATTTTTCACTAACTTGTATTATTTTTTTTCTTTACAGATTCACATTCGTATGTGTGCATCGAATGCAACAAAGGATATAAATCGAGAACGGCATTAAATCGACATGTGAGGGAAGATTGTGGCAGGATTTTATACAGATGTCCCATTTGTTCTTGCATTTTGCCGATGAAGATTAATCTCTACAATCACTTGAAGCGAGAGCACGGCACTGAAATGAATGAATAATTTTATTTTTTTTTTCATTTTTGTGTCCTTGTATGAAAATGGAAATTTTTTTCTGTTTTAATAATATTTTTTGCGTAAAACTAACGGGGCAGTGGTATTTTATTTTTCAGCTGGAAATGAATTTTTTATAATAGAATTTATTATCAAAAATCGATTGAAATGTTTAGAAATGTTGAATTTTAAATAAAATTGAAATTTTTATGGAATTTTAGTGAAGTTTTAATGAAATGTCGATTAAATTTTGATACGATTTTAGTGAAATTTATGAAAGAATTTTAATTCTATTTTGATAAAATTTTTAATAAAATTTTAATAAACTTTTAGTGAATTTTTTTTTTTTTTTTTTTTCATAATGAAATTTTAATGAATTTTTAGTGAAATTTGTTTAATGAAATTTTGCAACAATTTAAGTGACATTTTCTATGAAGTTTTCCTGAATTTTTAATGAATTATCGTTTTGAACTTTTAACACAAAAATTTTTTAATGAAACTTGAATAAAGAAACTTAAATAAAAAAAAGTATTCGAAAATATTTTTTATGTAAACATTCACCGTTAATATGTAGCACTAACTTTATATTAATATTTGTAACTTGTAACGTTTTGTTTCACACATTTTATATTTTGATTTTTTTTTTTTTTGCTTTCAAATAGCACAAGAGAACAATATTAATGTTTTTTGACAGCAATTTTTTTCCTTTTTCTAAAGACTCAATAATTGAAAAAAAAATTTTTTTTAGTAACAAATTTTGTTTATTTTTGTTTCAGGTTATTTAGGAAGTCATATTTGCAACGCTTGTGGCAAAACGTACGCTTATTACTCGTCATTGACGAGACACATTCGGGAGGAGTGTGGCGTGCCTCCGAAGTATCAATGCCTTTTTTGTCCCAAAAAAACGAAATTACGTTGTAATTTGCTAAAACACATGAGGTCAAAGCACTCTAATGTTTCTTGTGTTTAAATTTCAAAAAGTTTCTCGTTTCGAAAGTTTTTTTTAATTTGAAAATTAATTTACTTATGTAAATGTTTACTCACGTGAATTTTCAGTTCTGTAAATTTTTACTAATTACTAAAATAAATTATTGCTTACGAAAATTATTACTAAAGTAAATTTTTATGTAAATTATTATTTACATAAATTATTGCTTAATACAATGTTTAAAAAAACTAGTTACTTTAGGAATTGTTTGACCCTAGACACAAATAGTTTAACATTGAAAATGGTACTTATTTTTAGATTTATTATTTTGGAAATTTTCTAAATTTTATGAATAGTAAATGTGATGCGCTTTGAAGAAAGATACAAAAAAATTTTTAGGTTATGTTTGTATTTTTCGTAAATGAAAATAACAAGAAATTACAAAACTATAAACTACAAAACTTGAAGAAATTCTGAAGTACAAAAAAGATGTACGAAAAAAAAACTCAACCTTAAAATAATTTGTTTCATAGGTGAAGAAACATCTTCGGAGCGCGTCACTAAATTTGGTTGTGTTTTCTTCGATATATTCTATAATAGCGACTATAATTTAAATACTATTGTAATATAGTTACTTTTTTCAATAAACTCTCCCCAAACGTTGAGAAAAGTTGGTTTTGAAATAATTTCACATAGAAAAAAAAATCCCCTTCCGTAGAAGTATAATCTTGACGAAAGGTAACGTATCACATCCTTTTGATTTGTAGTATTTCCAAAAATTAAAAAAAAAAAATTCTCCCTTTTCAATAACTGCAAGTTGAATGTATTTTTTTCGAATTTTCAGTTTGATATATTACATTAAAAAAAAAGATTTGTTGCTTGTGCAAAACTGAATGTGAAAAGTGTTCTCTGTAGAAATTGACTTTTTTTGACTCTTTACTTTTTTTTTCTTGATTGAAAACAGTAACAATTTTTTTTAGTGTATTTTCTTTATTTTGGAACATATTTCTGTTTTCTGATTATTCAAAAACTTTTTCCACAGATCATCATCATCATCATCATATGACATTGATCAGAAGGAGTATCTACCCCTGTGGAAAATGCGATAAGGTCTATTCAAATGCGTCATCATTGTATCGTCATTTGAAATTGGAGTGCAATAAAGCTCCACAATTTCACTGTCAATTTTGTCAGTTCAGTAGTAAGCGGAAATTTAATTTGGATTCACATGTTGCTTATAGACATCAGGGTCGTAAACGAACGTACGTTCGTCGACGGCGACAATCTGCGGCGAACAGTTGAAAAATTGTACGAAATCGCTGATTGAAAAGCAAAAATTGTATATATAGAAATATTTTTCCTTGTATTTTACACCTAAAAATGCTGGAAAACTTAATTTAATAGAAAATTGTAAATCGAAATTTGTAGGTTAAGTGACGTGAGGAAAGAAAACTGTTTGCGCAGGCGCGAAGCCCCGCGCCTGCGCAAACAGTTTTCTTTCCTCACGTCACTTAACCTACAAATTTCGAGTTTCTGTCCCTTTCCTCTGGGAATAATACAAGTTTTCTTCGTTTTCGCATTTTTGTCGTAAAGTACCATGAAAAATATTAGAAAAGTCGTCTTCTTTTTTTACATTTATTTTCCGCTTGCTTTTTCTCGACGTGTCAAATATTTAATCGTGATTTAAGAGTGATCCAAAAAATTGTCTTTATATTTTATGAAAAAGTCATCAAAATCTATTATATACATAAATATATAAATTTGTATCCATAACAGATTTTGTAAATTTCTGTTAATAAACAAAGAAACAACTATTTTTCAGAGCAAATATTTTCAAATTTATGTTATGAATTGCATGTTTTGTGTAAATTCGGCGTAAGGAACTGCGTCTGCGCCACTGACTCTCTCTCTCTCTCATTGGTAGAAAATAGTGGCGCATGCGCAGTTGCTAAAGAAGAAGACAAACATATGTTTTTCCTTTTCTTACAAATAGGATTTTTTGCATCATCAGGATTCTTGCCGGTTTCACGTAAATTCTCTTAGTAAGTACTTATAATTTTTTTCGTATCGTAATTTTTCTTTACTATTTTGACAATAATTTTGTTTTTTAGGTCATCTGGATAGGAAGCAATGGCAGAATTGTATCATCATGTAGATAAAAAAAAATCGCGAAACATCAAAATTTTTTCGCTATTTGTATTAATAAATCTGTTCAATTTTCATTTATATGTAATTATTATTTCTGATAAAACTGTTTTTGTTTGTTTTTTGCATTAATTTTTTACATTTAACCCTCTGCCCCCTACTTTAAAGGTCGATGCACAATAGTTTTGGGAAAAGCGTTCGCGGACGTGAGGCATGAGTTAGAAAAGGACAGAGATATCTTTCTGTCCTTTTCTATCTCATGCAACTGATTCACTTTATTGTGCGTTGACCTTTATCGACAATTTAATCTCTTGGTAAAAACTAAATTATATTTAAATGTAAAAAAAACTAGAGTAAAAAAATGTGAAAATAGTCACCGTGGGCAGAGGATTAATAAATACTTACAGCTGTGTATAAAAATTTTCTATTTGTATCCAAGTGACGCCGCATAATTAAAGGGACAAGTCTAGAAAATTTTAGGTTATGTTGAGCGATATTTTTACCTTTTCCTCTCCTATAATTTTGTTCTTTATGTTCTTTTTTAATAAACGAAAAGAAAAAATTCTTATTCCATTCTTTTTGGAAGTAAAGAAGAATTAAAAATCACTTTTTGGTTTTGTATTTTAACTTTGAAAATCTTGAACATAACCTAAAATTTTTTTTGCGTGGGGTATAAAGATGCGAAGTCACATACGGGTTTTTAAAAAAAGGTGATGGGAAGAAAGAGAAAAATTGTACAAACAAAGACTAGGGTAGTATTTCTCGTTGTTATTCGTGTATATTGTTGCAGTAATTTATTTCTTCGGCTTTCATTAAAGTATTACATTTATACAATTTTTGCTCTTTAACAAAAAATTTAAAATTATATTACAATCCTTCCTTGATAAGGAAGCGAAAGTCGAAATAAACCGGAAATCTTTCTCTGTTTGTCTAACTTTCTCTATACATGTAAATTTTTTAATTTTTTGGGACGCTGAGGGCAAGTTTTTTTGTAAATCTGGTAAAGGGTTTTTTTTTTTAACTTTTACACATTTGTAAGTAATCACGTGTCATAAAAACGCAGTAATCGAAATTATTTTTTTTCTTATAAAAGCTTTCTTTCTTTGTTTGCTTTATTTTAATTTTCTTTGCCTTTTCTTATCTGATGTTACAGGTATGGGTGCACTCCTCTCATTATTACGATCTGAATTTAAACAAGTGGGAATGAAAAAGAATCGAGCACGAAGTACCAGTGAACAGGGGACGACAAATTCTCCATCCCATCGTGAATCGTATCGCTCAGGTTCAGGGAATGATAGCAATAATAAGAATAATAATAATAATTTTGAAAATAATGATCGATCAACGCGTGAGGTGGTGTTTCCAGATTCATTTGAAGTTCTTCCACAGCCACGTGATTTGAGTGTCATTTACATGGGGGTGCCGCATGAGCAGCAGAGAAAATTTAGGTGTCGATTTTGTGGCAAGGGCTATCGTTGGAAATCGACGATGAGAAGACACGAGATGGTGGAATGTGGCGGGAAACCACCGTCGTTCCAGTGTCCCGAGTGTCCGTATAAGGCGAGGCAGAGGGGAAATCTCACTGTTCATTATAAGCGACATCATCAAAAATCTGATGGTTATGATGATAGTCATGAATCCATTTGAATTTTATTTATTTTGTTGAAAGTGAAGAGGAGAAAATTTATATTTCGTTTTATTAAACTGAGGAGGTTCAGTTTTAAATTATTTATTCATTATCGATCTACGATCAGTGTTTTTTTTTCTTTTTTTTTTGTATATTTGATGATTTTCTTAGAGAGCTGGGCTCAATTTGAAGTTATTTATAATTTGTAATTTAATTACATTGTAAATTTTGTCGAAGAAAATTGTGTTTTTTGGAGGAAGTCGTGAAGAAAATTTTCATGATGATAAATTTTATTATTTGCACATTATTCAATAACTTTTAGTACAATAATAAAGTTTATAATTTAAGGAATTGTTTATTAATACCATGGTTTATTGATACTTAATAATACTTAATATTAATAATAAAAAGAAATAAAAATTAAAAACGATTTAAAATCATAGAAATAATCATAGATACAAGAATAAAGAACGCGAGAGGTAAGAAAAATCGTCAGGTCGACAGAAAGATTCAGAGTATTCTTAACGGCCCCTCTTTACTCTCTCTACGCATGCGCGAAAGTCACGATAAGCAACTGCGCCTGCGCCGCTCTCATTCGTAGAAAAAAGTGGCGCAAGCGCAGTCGCTCCTCGTGACGCTCGCGCATGCGTCGCTAGAGAAAAAGAAGATGGGCCGTTACGTACTCTATTGCCCTGACGATTTTTAATTATCAATTTCAAACACGCAGTATTATAACAAAAATGTAATTAGATTACAAATTGCATTTATAGTTAATAAAATACTTTTTTCGAACTCTGCTTTGTTAAGAAATTTCCCGAAAGACAATAAAATTACAATATTGATCGTTTTTCTTTTAAGTTTATTTTTAATATTTATTTGTTTCTATTACACACCGAACTGACAGAAATCGTCCTTTAAGTTAAGTAGAGTAAATTTATTATTAATAATAATATTTAAATAACATTCTAGCAGAATTAAAAATTTGAATAAAAAAAAAAAATTTCTTAATATTGGTGAGAGTTGTGTTCTAAAAAAATGGTGAATGGAAAATTTAAAAAATTTAAAACTAGTGTTATTTAGTCTACGAATGTTATAGACTACTAAGAAAATGAATTTATTTTGTAAAAAGAAATTAAATTTTTTATATATTTTACTATATTTGACGTAACATTATAGGTTTGGGAATTAGTAATATTATTATGAATATTAAACAGTGCCTGGATATTGTAATGTCAATAGAAAAGAGCTTCCTCCGCGAGGAAGTAATTATTGATTTTAATCAGCGAGAGATTACAATTGAAAAAAAAATTTGTGATGCGGACCGAAGAAAGGTTTCTAAGAAGCAAAGTATTTTAAAATCAGTTTGATAGAAAGAGAAAGAGTTTACCTAACGTCCCCTCTTCTTTCTCTCTCTAACGACGCATGCGCGATTGACACTAGAAGCAACTGCGCTTGCGCACTATTTTCCACTAATGCGAGCGGCGCATTGGTGGGAAATAGTGACGCAAGCGCAGTTGCTTCGCGCATGCGTCGTTAGAGAGAGAGAGAAGAGGGGACGTTACAAACATTTTGCTCCTCAGGGTCCTTTCTTCGTAACACGTCACATTTTTACATCTTACTCAAAAGAATGACAATCGATACTAATTAATTACTAATTGAGATTTTAAGAATTACGCTGTAAAAACAACTTCGACATTCCGTAAATTTTTTTTTTCCCCTGAAAACATTCCGTATTGTAATTTAGCTAATATAAATAATTACTATTATATGTAATTCCACGAAATATGCCTTCGTGAAATATACTGTCTTCTGAAAGAAATGAAATCCTTTGACGAGAGAAAAATATTTTTTACATATTATATATTTTTTCACATACATTTTATTTTCGATTTTGTTTTCAATTTTACATTCCTTTTCGATTTTTAGTACAAAAGCAAGTAGTACGAAAGTACTAAAATACTAAAATATTTTTATAGTAACTAAAAATCGAATCCGGATTTTTAAAAGTACGAAATCTTCTTTGTTTCAGGATCTTCTTTATTTTCAGGATAGTTGCAAAATCTCGTTAAAGGATTTTCGATTATTACATTAAGACACTAATTATATAATTACACGAAAAGAGAAAAAAAAATTAATCGAGTTACTTAGGCAATGATTTTCCGATTTACAGTATTTTTGATATCAGTATTTAGCAAACACTGCGATAGTGACTGCAAATCTTACTCATTTTTTTAATTCCGCCTTATTTTTTTTTTTGTTACCCAACATTGTTTTTTTATCAACAGTATACTAGCGGTTCAGTTTATTACAACGTTTCTACTTAATGTTTATGAATTGTAATTTTTTCACTACACTCGATTTAGCATAATTTATCTAGATTCCACAAGAGTCCTGGTGGCTACTCTCAGTTTTCTATTGGTAAAAGATAGAAGGAGAGGGAAAAAAGTAGTGACGCCGGGGAAAAAAGTTTTGCGCAGCCGCTGACGCGCCTGCGCAAAACTTTTTTCCCCGGCGTCACTACTTTTTTTCCCTCTGACGTCACCTAATCTAATGGCGCATGCGCAGTTGCTACTCGTGACGGTCACGCATGCGTCGTTAGAGAGAGAGAAAGAAGAGGGGCCGTTACGAATACTAGCCAGGACCCTCAACTGGATCTAGGTTTCAATCTTAGTTCTGAAAAAAATTTGAAATACGTTTTTATATATTTTTTAATATAACTAATAATGAAAGAAGTGTTTTAACATTTTTATTTTTTTATTAGGGTAATTTCGAATTACGAATGGAAGACTTATTATTTTTTTTTTTTAAAGATTTATCAGGCGGACCATTACTTGCTAATATTAATCTTTGTACTAAATATTATCAATGCCTTTATATTATTATTATTCTGAATAAAATATTGTTGAGGGTTATTTTTTAAATGTCGTGTATTCCTTTTATCCTCTCCTATTGTTTTTGTCGATTAACACTATTGTATTGTATATTTTTTTGTTTTTTATACCGTTTATGTAAAATAATTATTAACATTTGTGGCGCACTCCGAAGAATGTTGGCTCAGTTCGCAAAAAGTTGAGTTGTTTCTTTAAAAAAAAAAAAAAAAAAAAAAACTGAAATAAGTATTGAAAACTGATTTTAGTTTCAATAAAACAATTCGAAAGTAAAAATAACACGAACATAATTTGCTTCTTATCTTCGGAGCGCGTTACATTTATGAATTGACGTTCTAATTAAAGTTTACTTTTTTCAAAAAACTTGTTAATAAATTATCGTTACTCTTTTCTAAATGTACAAAATAATGGATTTTTTTTTCTTTTTTTGTTTTTGTCTTCTTCTTCTTCTTTTTCTAAATTGTACGTCGATATAAACCTACTGTGATAAAGTAAGTGAAGGCTATACATAGAAAAAGGGTCTCTTCTAATTATTATTTTTTTTTAATTGTGTCACTAATGTTGAATATGTAAAAAATTCTAATTGTTAATTTTTTTTCAATTTCAGATAATTGGTTTCTTCAAGCACACGATGCTTTCATAAGTCCACCTAGCATGTCATCGTATTCTGGTACACGTTCGAATCAGGGTGCATATCAACCGGTGAGAACGGCACGAGGACAATCGACATATAAGTGTCCAAAATGTAGTCGATTTTACATGAGGGCTTCGTGCTTGAGACGACATTTGCGTGTTGAATGCGGCAGAGAACCGAAATTTCAATGTAAAATTTGTCACGGCTGGTTTAAATATAAACACAATCTCGCCGCTCACATGAAATTGCATGTCGAGGAGCCCAAGCATCATTGTGTTATGTGTCCGAAAAAATTCTATCGTCGTGACAAACTTGTGGAGCACGAACGAAAATGTCACACTACGTAAAATTTTTGGGAAATGCATGAAAGTAATTTTTTTTTTTAATAAAGAATTTAAAAAGAAAACTATTTTGCATAATTGGAAATATTTCTTAAAAATATTTATATATTTAAAAAAATTTAAATTTATTGTAATTTATTCGAGTTTATTTTTTATTCATGAAAATTGTATTTAAAAAAAAATGTCCGGGCACTGAAATTAACTTTACATAATTTCTTATAACCTCATCTTCAATTTTACACACTTAAATTTAAAATTTAAATATTCCTCAATTGTTTACCGTTTAAATTTGTAAATCCTCATATTTACAATCGAAATGAAAAATTTAAAAATTAACTTTCAGTGGATTTTTGCGAATTTGTAAAATAGAAAAGAAATACAAAAAAATAAATGAGAATGTAAAAGTAGTCAAGTGATCAAATTCAGTGACAACGAAATTATACATACTACGTAAATAATAATTTAAGGAGAGCGAAATATAAAAGACGTAATATTTAATCGAATAATTGTAAATATAAAAATGTTCTATTTGCATAAAAAAAGAATAAATTTATTAATTACAATCGTTTTCTGGAAAAGAAATCCCATTTCCATCCTTATTTTTATTTTCCGATGAAGAAAAAATTGTAAACTGGATATTAATTCACATTTCCTACTTACTAATTTTGTCTTATTTTTCAAAATTTCAGGATTGAATTAATTTTTGCAAAACAAAAAAAAATTTCTATCGAAGAAAATTTTCATAAATATCAAAAAATGTTGTCTACTTGTTGTTTTTAAACTTTTCAAGCGTCAGGCGGATGGAAAGAGTCGGAAAGTACTTAACGTCCCCTCTTCTTTCTCTTTCTTCAGAGGCGCATGCGCAGAAATGTGAACGACCGTTACCAGAAGCGACTGCGCTTGCGCCACTGTAGAAGCGTCAGCGCGCATGCGTCAGGAGACAAAGAAAAAGTCGAAGGGACGTTAGCTGACTCTTTAAACTTACTTACTTCTTTTTTGCATGTAATAGAAAAATTTTCCTACAAAAAAAAAATTTTTTTTTTAACACTCTCTCGTTGTATTTTTTCTTTTGCAGAATATTACCAGTATAGTCAAAATCAAGTAACGGGACAATATTATTGTCACAATTGCTATAAATATTATAAATCAAGTGCATCATTAAAAGTTCATCAGCTAGTTGATTGTGGAAAATTACGAAAATTTGGATGTTTATATTGCAAGTATGTGTCACGAAGAAAATTCGACATCACTAGACATATGAAGCGATGTAAGCAAGTCAGGTAATACAAAAAAAAAGAAATGTAATAGAAATTATTATTATTATAATGTTACTAACCAGGGAATTTTTTTTTTTATTATTTCAGAAAACAGCAGCGATAGAGCAACGTAACTGTGACACTAGTGATAATTTTTAATTTATTTTCTATATTTATTTCTATATTTTATTTTTATCTGATTCAAATTAACTGGAGATTGAAAATCGAAATTTAGAGGTTAGGGGATGACGTGGCGTAAAGAAAACTGTTTGCGCAGCCGCTTTGCGCCTGCGCGTCCAGTTTTCTTTCCGCTGACGCCACTTAACCTACAAATTTCGAGTTTCCTTCGTTACATTTTAGAATAAAATAGAAAATCGTGAAAAAAAATAATATTTAATTAAAAATCGTAAAACAAACTCGAAATTTCTTCTTTTGTCGCAAAATGTACTTTTTATTCCTATTTTTCTATTCTTCTTCTTTTTTTCTCTTTCTTCAGTGTGCGTCGTAGGTAAAAAAAAATGTTTTTAAACATTTATTACCGTCAAGGTAGAATGTTTACAACTATTAAAAATATTCTTTTATTTCAAAAGAATTATAATGTAATATATCAAAATGTAATAAAGAAATGTAAGAGGATCTGTTAAAAATAAAGTTCAGTTTATATTTAAATTCTGCGATAAAAAAAATTTCCAGTTTTTGAAAAATGTTAAATTAGGTATTTATTGCTATTTATTACTTTTTATATGTTTATAAATATTTATATTTATATATTCATTTATTTATAAATATATTTATTTATATATATAAATATATTTATATATTTTTATTTTGTATGTATTTATATATTTCAAAATTCTTTTACATTTTCCTCAGTATTGTGAACAAGAATTTTCCTACAATTTTTTTTTTTTTTTGGCTTTAGCAATTTTTCTTTTTTAACCGAATTTTTCCTCTTTTCAGATTGTATTCACTGGGTCCATACGACGGGAATTACGCCATATCAATGTACTAAATGCTTAAAATATTTCAAGTCATCGAAATCACGCTCAAATCATCGTGCAGTTTGTGGAAAAGATAAAAAATTTGGTTGCGCATTTTGTACTTATCGCTCGCATCAAAAGGCAAATGTCCTCAGACATTTAACATCTCAACATCCTGAGGCCAATGAAATTAATCATCTTGGCCTTGTTTTTAATAGCAGTTTATAAATTTTAATTTCATATTCATTATAATAAATAATAAATTATAAATATATTGTTTCAAAAAGAATATAATTTTTGTTGATGAAAATTAAATTATAATTATTAATAAATGATTTTTATTGTGTGATATTTTTGATATAGTAAAATAAATATATTGTTTTTATTTATAGTTATTTCTATTTCGTTAGCGTTACTATTTGTTAATATTACGATTATGATCGGGAAAAAAATAAAAGTTTGTGAAAAGTTAAATGATACGTGGAAGCGTCAATGGGATAGAAAGAGACAGAGTGTACGTAACGGCCCCTCTTTTCTCTCTCTCTAGCGACGCATGCGCGAAGCAACTGCGCCTGCGCCGCTCTCATTGGTTGAAAATAGTGGCGCAAGCGCAATCGCTCTTCGTGACGGTCGCGCATGCGCTACGAAACAAAGACAGAAGAAGGGCCGTTAAGAAGACTCTTGACTCTTTCCACCGACCTGATGCGATTGTTTCCTTTATTTATTTTAGATTGAAAATTTTCCTAATTTTACCGAAAAATCTGAAAAATGCATGTTTTGTATTCTGTTCCTTTTGTTCTCTATTTCGATTTTTGATTTTCGAATTTTTTGTTTTCAGAAAAATTAGTAATAGTAGTGATTGTTATATTTTATTTCACTATCTTGTGCACTACTTTTTCAAAAATTATTCATTAACCTACTTATTTCAAGATACAAGTTTTCCATCGGAAGAACTGAAAAATAGCTTCAAAGATGCACGAAAGTAAGTTGAACAAACTAAAAAAAGGGGAAAATAATTTTTTATTTTTTATTCTTGAATTTAGTTTTTACTTTCTAATTTTGGTATAATTGTTTCGAGTTTTTATTTTGTATCACGAATGACTATTATAAAAAATAAGGTTTTTTAAATTTTTTTTTCTTTTTCTCTTCGGTGGTGGGAATTCATAATTTTAATTTTTAAAAACATTAGAACACAACTAAATCTGCATTTCTTTTTTTTTTTATTTTAGATTACGATGACTGTTCGATTATTGAAGAAACTGCGGACGTTCCAATGCAAGTCTTTAAGATGGACAATAGAAATGTTGCACAATTAATAATACCAAAAGCACAACAATTGACGGGAAGAAAGGCAAATGGAAAATTTACTTGTCTTCAATGTGGCAGGTCGTATATGCGTAAAGATTCATTGCAAAGACACGTTCACTGGGAATGTAATAAGGAACCGCAATTTCAATGTCCATTTTGTCCGCAACGTTGTAAACGTAAAGCACATTGGCTGCGGCATATTCGACGTCAGCATGAAAATGAGGCTGATAATATTGAAAAATTGGCTAAATATATTCCCAATGTTAACTTTAAGTAAATTTAGTAATTTTTCGATTTTTTTTTGTTTTTGTGAAGAATTTTCATAGAAAAAAAATTTCTTAAAAAGAATTGAAATTTGGACTTTACAAAATTGATATTATTCTGTTGTAATTTGAATTTAATTTCTAGTTATAAATAGTATTTTTTTCTCTTTTCATGAATTTTTGTTTACACTTTTTAATTACACAAATTTTTTTTTTTTTTTTTTTAAAGTGTAAGCATATATTATGTAAGCGTCTGTTTTTGAACATATTTAGTATTTAATTACTGCATTTTACAATCATGCGGCATAATTTTTATTTTCAGTATTCAACCTTATTTATACTCTATTAGAACGTAGTTTTACCGTATTATAATTATAAGTATTTGTGCCTTTAAAGAATTGTGAAAAAAAAGTTTATGAAAAATTAACGTTGTTGCAAACATTGCACATTTAAGAGTTAAACAACTATCACTTAAGAAAATATAAAATATTCGAATAATATTTTTTGTATCACAAGTGCGCCGAGGAAAATATTTCATTTTGATAACAAGACATTTTAGGAAACATAAAATAAAGAAAAATTAAAAAATAAATAAGAAAATAAATAAGAACAAATAACAGAACATAAATATAAATAAATATTTTAGAGATAAAATAAAGAAAGCGAGTTTGTAGGAAGCGTCAAGCGGATAGAAAGAGACAGAGTGTGCCTAACGGTCCCGTTTCTTTCTCTCTCAGCGACGCATGCGCGGAAATCACGATAAGCAAAACTGCGTTTGCGCTACTATTTTCTACTACGAATTTTAGATGAAGTGGAAAATATTTTTTTGCGGCATAAAAATATATTTTTGTACAATCAGCAAAAATGTTTTGTATTTTTTTTCTCGTCAAGACGAAATATTTTGCTCTAAACAGCAAAATATCTTATAAGAATATTACATATTATAAGAAAATTATATTTTCTTGCAAAAAATGTAGAATTATTTATTGATTATTTAAATACATACAAAATAGGATTAGTCTATTTTTGTAGGTAATTTTTCTTCAAACTTGGTTTACTTTAATTTTTATGTGAAATGAGTTGACATTTATTTTATAAGAAATAAAAAGAAAATGATGTACTATTCTAATTTTTTGATTAATTTTCAGCGTGTTATTTAATGAGTAATTATGTATTTGCGTGTGATTATTGTAGAATATATCGCATAATTTATATTTTATAAGATCATGAATTTTTCAGGAGAGAGCATTTTTGATGTGAAAAAAAATTGCATTTCAATATCGGCGCCTTTTAATCTCTATTTCTCTGCATTTCTAATTTCACAGCAGTATTACTCGCAAAATACTGTCTTCCCCGTATCGAAGAATCTTTTCTTATTTTTGCTTTTGACATTTTTTCTGCTTCTTCATTTTATTCTAGAGAAATCTCCATTTAAAAAATTTTTTTTTCTCTTTACTTTTGTTTTCTATTCTTTTTTTCTTTCATTTCTTTCTTGTTTCTTGTTTTTCTTTTCTTTACTGTTTCTTATTAATTCTTTATTATTATTATTTTTTTATTTTATTTTTTATAATTTTTAATATTTTTTTATCCTTTTTTTCTTTCATTTTGTTTTTCTTTTCATCAAATTTTCGTTTTTCTTTTCTTTATTTTCTTCAACTTTCTTCAATATTTTTTTTTTATTTTTTACAACTTTCGTTTTCTTTACTTTCTTCAACTTTTTTTCAACTTTTTATTCTTTTCTTTCTTTAGATTCTTTCTAATTTTTTTTCTTAATTTTTTTAACTTTTCGTTTTTCTTATTCTTCTTCAACGTTTTTTTTTTCTTTATATTTTTAAACTTTTTTTTGTTTATTTTTTAAATTTTTTATTCCTTTCTTAATTTTTTTAACTTTTCTTTTTTCTTCTTTTTTACTTTCTTCAACGTTTTCTTTTACATTTTTAACTTTTTTTTGTTTATTTTTTTAACTTTTTATTCTTTTCTTTTTTTATGATTTTTTCTTTTCTTAATTTTTCTAACTTCTTGTTTTTTCCCCTACTTTCTTTAATTTTAGTTCTTTTTTTCCTTTTTTCAACTTTTTTTTCTTTTTTTTTTATTTTGTTAACTTTTTTCCTCCTCTTTACTTTTTTTAACATTTTTTTTCCTTTTCTCTTATTCTTTTAACTTTTTTTTTCTTTTCCCTACTTTTCTTAACTTTGTTTCTTTTCTTTCATTTTTCTTAATTTTTCGTTTTTCTTTTCTTCACACTCTTCACATTCTTTAACTTTTTTTTCTTTTTATTTTTTTCCTTTACTTTCTTTAAGTTTTCATTCTTCCCATTTTTTATTATTTTTCTTTTTTCCTTTTCTCCACTTATTTTAACTCTTTTTCTTTTTTTCTTTTTCTTTTAACTTTATTCTTTTCCTTCTTTTTTCAACTCTGCTCATTTCTTTTTTCTTTCTTGTCGTTTTCGTTTTCTTTTTTTCCTTTTCTTCTTTCTCTCTTTTTTCTCATCTTTTTTTTCTTTTTTTCATTTCTTTCTTTTTTTTTGTTTTTTTTTGTTTTTCTTTTTTCAATCACTTTTTCTCGACTTGACCACTATTTTTCTTCGATATTGGGGAATAGGCATGTGCACTAACTTATATCTACGCTCTGTGTATATATATTTATTATACATTTGTATAGAGCCTACAATTTTCATTGCTTTTGCGCTTCGAAAGGAACAGCCAAACGGAATACTAAAATATTTTACAGAAACTGATCATGAAAACTCACGAGGCTTTTGAATATTCTGGAACTAATTTAATCGCTCCTCGCACTGTTCCTTTCACAATGCGCGGAAATTGCTCTTCCAAAATCTGAAGCTCATTCTAGCTGCTTGGGGTTTTTCAAAGTAAGAACAATATACACATTCACCTTTATACTTTTCTTTGCATTCAATTTTTTATTTTCTCTCTCAGTCGAGCACAAACGTTGATTGATGAAAATATTCGTTTCACACTTCATTGCGTATACCATTTTTTATTTATTAATTAATTAATTTATTTTTATTCTTTTATTTATTTTTATTTTTTAATTAATTAATTTATTTTTTATTCTTTTATTTATTTTTTTCATTTTTTATTTTTTTATTTACTGTATTTTACTATATTTTTTTTATTCACTATATTCTTTTTATCTACCATATTTTACTATTATATTTTTTCTGAGGATTTCAAATTGAGACAAAAAAAAACGTATCAAAATGTTGCGAAGCAACGTTTTTGATCGGTTTTTTGTCTCAATTTTGATATTCTTAGAAAAATTGTAATATTTTTTTAGGGAGAAGAGAAATATTTTATTCAAGCAAATAAAAGTTTTACTCTCGCGTAAATTTTTATTTAAATTTAATTTAAATTTCGTTTTAATTTTATTTAAACTTCGTTTTAATTTTATTTAAATGTTATTTGAACTTTTCTTTGTTTGAATAATTTTTTTTGTTATTTTGACTGAAATAAAAAATTTATTTGAAACAAAAAGTATTCATTGGCTTCGAGTAAAATATATCTTTTAAAACTTATTTTGTATTCAATCAAAATTATTATTTTTAATTGAAAAATATTTTTTGGTTGACTCTATAAAAACAATAATTATGTTTTTATCAAATATATTGTTTTTACAGTGTAAAAAATATTGTTTTTATTGTGTAAAAAAAATTTTTTTTTAAATTAGAAAAATTTTGTAATTTTAAAAAAAAGTTTCGTTCAATTTCGCTGCTATTAATTTCTATTAGTTTCTATTAATCTTCATTAGTTTTCATCAATTTTCATCAAACAACGTTTACACTAGAAATTTTCTTTTGAAAAATGAGAAACTTGAATCCTCCCGAAACATTAATTATCTGAATTTTTATTTTTAAACTGTGGGAAAAAATCCAGTTTCTCCCTTTTCATACAGAAAATTCTCTCAATTTCCAAAGGGCTCTATTTTTTCTCTATTGTTACTTTTTACGAAAAAAAAACTATTTTCGCTATTTTTAAATTTCTCATGTAATGTGACGCCCAAAAGAACCTAATTTTAGTTATTAAGTTTTATTTCTATTATTAGTGTAGATACAAATTTTTTTTCCTATTATTAATTAATTTCACCTATTATGAATTAATTTTACCTACTATTAATTAATTTTACCTATTATGAATTAATTTTTCCTACGAAGAATTTTAATTTAATTACAATTATTAATTTGATTATAATTTTAATTGTCTGGATGGATTTATAAATAATGTTTGTCAATAAAAAGCTGGAAACTATGTTCCAGCCGAGGACCTGAGCATCACAGGATTAAAATGGGCAGCAGCTTGGCAAAGATGGAGTGCAGTGCCGTCAATAATGTGGCGTTCGGGCGGTAGTTTGGGTAAGAGTCTTGGTTCTGGATCATCATCACCCGAAGGTTTCAATTGTCCAGCATGTGGTCGTGTCTACAAATTAAAGAGCAGTCTTCGTAATCACCAAAAATGGGAATGCGGTAAAGATCCACAATTTCAATGTCCCCATTGTGTTTATCGGGCTAAACAAAAAATGCACATTGCCCGTCACATGGAACGTATGCACAAAGAAAAAATTTACAAGCAAGAGGAGATTGTCTAGTACAACAGCCAAATTCCAATTTTTTTTTTTATTTTCACTATATATTATATATAATATAATATCTTAGGAATTTTTTATAATATTTGCGAAAAATATCCCCCCTTGTAAAATAGTTTCCATAATAATTGTTACGAAAACTGAAAAATGTTCAAAAAAAAAGAAGAAGAGGAATCAACACAGACGGAGCGAAGTCAACATTTTATAATCTCAGGTTTTTTCATTTGAAATTGAATGCATGTGGCTGAAGTGTTGGGAAAGAAAAATTTTTTTTTCTTTTTTTTACTTGCAAGAAATGATTTTTTTGGTCTTTTTGTCATTTGATAGTGACAGGAGAGCAGAGAAATGGAGATGCAATGTTATATAATAATGTTTTGCTTGAGTTTTTTGAATGACGTATTTTTGCCCTTATTATTATTATTACTAGAATAATATAATATTTTTTTATACAAGTAGTTGTTTTAAGCATCGAGATACCGATGTTACGAGAGACAGTGTCGATTTCCCGCTCGGGGCACTTCATTATTTTTTCATTTCCAGTGGGAAATTTTTAGTATTTTTTTTTTGAGAAGGTATTGGTTGCTTGAAATTTTACCGTATAACGGAAAACTGCAGGCAATAAACTGCAAAAATGATTATTTTTAATAATAAAATTAGTAAATTTACTATAGAAACTGCAGTGATTTAAACTGCATAAAAGTAAATTAAATTTTTTTTAAAAATATATTAAATTTAATAAATATGTAATTAATACTTCATTAATACTTACTATATTTTATTCAAAAATTGGTAAAAAAAAATTTTATTTTGGAAGAATTACAGTTGGAATTTTTAGAAATAATTCAATTTCAAAAAGTTTTTCATTTAAATTATTTAAAATTTTATAATTATTGTGAAAAAATAAATAAGAATATGTTTTTAAATTATTTTTTTAACAAAAAATATTGAATTTTTGAATAAATTAGGTTAGGTGACGTCAAAGGGAAAAAAAGTAGTGACGCCGGGGAAAAAAGTCTCGCGCAGGCGCAAAGCGGCTGCGCGAGACTTTTTTCCCCGGCGTCACTACTTTTTTTCCCTCTCCTACTATTTTTCAATAGTAAATAAATATATAAATGTAACGCCCTTCTAAAAATACCAATTAAACTTTGTAAAAATTAAAAATTACAATTTTCAATTTTACTTTTAAAAAATGGGAAATTGAAAATTGAAAATTTCAATTTTACTCTAAGAAAATTGTAAATTAAAATTTTCAATTTGACTGTTTTAGAATTGAAAGTTCGAAATTAGGATTTTACTCCTTAAAAATAGGAAATTGGGAATTGTAATTTTCAATTTTTTTCTCAGAATTCAAAGTTTCAATTTTACTCTATGAAAATTGTAAATTAAAAATTTCAATTTTACTTTTAAAAATTGTAAATTTTAATTTTAATTATTAATAATTGGAAATTTTAGTTTTATTCTTTGAAAAGTGTAAATTAATACTTCAATTTTAGATTAAAAAATTGTAAACTAAAAATGTTAATTTTTATTTTTTAAAATTCGAGATTTTAATTTTACTTTCAATTTTACGTTTTAAAAATTAAAAATTAAAAATTTCAATTTTAATTTTTAGTAATTGAAAATTGGTAAATTTTAATTTTATTAATTGAAAATTCAAATTTCAATGTTAATAATTAAAAATTAAAAATTGGAAATTTCAATTTTAATAATTGAAAAGTAAAATTTCAATGTTAATAATTAAAAATTAAAAATTTCAATTTTAATTATTCATAACTGGAAATTGAAAATTTCAGTTTTATTCTTTGAAAAGTATAAATTAATACTTCAATTTTATACTTTAAATTAGAAATTGAAAATTTCAATTTTAACTTTTGAAAATTGAAAATTATAAATTTCAATTCTAATTTTTAATAATTGAAAATTAAAAATTTCAATTACAATTATTCATAACTGGGAAATTATAAATTTCAATTCTATTTTTTAATAATTGAAAATTGGAAATTTCAATTTTAATAATTAAAAATTAAAAATTTCAATAATTGAAAATTATATGGAATATTAAAAATTCTAGTTTGATTTTCTGAGAATTGAAAATTTCAATTTTACTTTTAAAACATTTAAAAATTGATAATTTGAATTTTACTATTTGTTAATTGAAAATTTTATTTTTTTTCTATGAAAATTGTAATTTAAAAATTTTAATTTTACTTTTTAAAAATTGGAAATTTCAATTTTACATTAAATTTTATTTTTTGAAAATTTAAAGTTATAAATTACAATTTTAGTTTTTAATAATTGAGAATTGGACATTTTAATTCTAATTTTTGATCATTGGAAATGGAAACTTTAAAATTTCAATTTCATTTTTTGAAACGTATAATCTAAAATGTTAATTTTCCTATTTGAAAATTGTTATTTACAACTTTCAATTTTCCATTTTTAATAATTTTCCATTTTAAGTAAATAAATAAATAAATAAATAAATAAATAAATAATTAAATATCGGAAATTCTATTTTAGTTTTTGTAAATTGCAAATTGAAAATTTTAATTTTACTTTTTGGAAATTGAAAATTTTATCTTTACTTTTTGGAAATTGAACATTGAAGATTTTATTTGTCTTTTTAAAAAATTAAAAATTTTGAGGAAATTTTAGAAATTTTAATTTTACTTTATGTAAATTGGAAATTGAAAAATTTAATTTTTACTTTATGTAAATTGAAAATTAAAAAATTAAATTTAAAAATTTTCTTATTAAAATTTTCCCTTTTGCAGTTTTTCCGCCTTTTTTAGAAACTAAAATTGACAATATAAGGCACGATGAAATTATTTCTTTTTCCAAATTGGAGAATCGAGATAGAATATAGTGATTTCGGATTGGTGATTACGGAAAGTCTGTGATAAATACGACAGAAAATTGTCTGCTTTTTTCTTTTTTAAGAATGAATGGAGGTGTTTTTTATATAATTTATTTTTAATTTTTTGGCTTTAGAGAAAACTATACCGGTGATAATATAGTTAGAAAAAAATTAACTCTTTCGTTTTTTTTTATTAGTAGATTAGATTTTATACTTATTATGACATTAAATCAAAAAAGCTTTCTTTATATGTGATACGCGCAGCGCAAATATCAAAACTTTTTAGAATCTCATTTTTTTTTAAATTCCAAAATTATAATTAACAACTGAGTATTAGTCATCGTGCCTTTATTTTCATCAATTTTTACAATTCTTAATTTTTAATTTCGAATTTCTAATTTCTAATATCTAATATCTAATGTTTTACATTCTGATCAAAAATAAGAATTTTTTTTGAAAAAGAAGTAAAAACGGATTTTTACTTTTAAAAAGTCTAAATAAATGAAAATTACCTAGTTTTTTAAAAAAATAGGTAAAAAAATTTTTGTTTTGCAAATACATATTTCAAAAGTATTTGAATATTGAAAATATTCAAATATGAGAAATATTAAAAATATTCAAATATGAGAAATATTAAAAATGAGAAAATAATGAAGAAATATTGAAAATGAGAAAATAATGAAGAAACATTGAAGATGAGGAAATAATGAAGAAAAAAGTGAAATTAAAAAAAATAAAGCAGGATAGCCCCGAGTTGGATTTGAGACCACCTGTAAATCGGAGCTCTTCCATAGCAACCATTCTGGTCAACACTGGTTCCATAATTTTAAAATGGACGTTTGCCGTGCACGTGTGGTCCACACCAGGGACACAAGATGCAAAACTAAATATTTATATAAACAGACTCTTCTCTATATTCTTCCAGATGAAAAACAATAGCTTAAAACCTTCCCTCCTCGATCCAACTTTTATTGTAATTTTATAAAGTCGTTAATTGTATAATAATTAATAATATATTTCAAATGGAATTTTTTTTTTTTATTTCAGCGTGAGAGTATAAATATAGAAATATTTTTCATATTATCCATATATAGTTTTTTATGCCACTGTAGTTTTTAATTTTTTTATTGTAGTCATATAATAGAATGTGGTTTCTTTACCACTAAATACGAGTCAATATTTTTTTACATTCTCATTTCTATACTGTAATTTACATTACAATGCTGTTTTTAATTTTTAGCCATACAATCTAATCGCCAAGAATTTTTTTCTATAGAGTGTAATAAATATTTTTTATAAATACGCGTGGCTGATTAATTTTGCGATCAATTTTTTTTTTTTTTTTTGACAATCGGAAAAGTGAAATTATTATACTATTGTAATATTTAATTGGATTTTACTTTTTGAAAATTGAAAATTCAATTTTATTCTTTGGAAATTGAAAAATTAAAGATTTTATTTGTCCTTTTAAAAAATTGGAAATTAAAAATTCCTATTTTAATTTTTGAATATTAAAAATTATTTTAGTTTAACTTTTTGAGAATTGAAAATTTTAATTTCACTTTAAAAATTTTCAAATTGAAAATTTTGTTTTTACTCTTTGAGAATTGAAAATTTTTATTTTACGTTTAAAAAATTGAAAATTAAATATTTCAATTTTACTTTTTGAGAATTGAATATTAAAATTTCAATTTTAATTTTTGAAAATTAAATATTAAAAATTTCAATTTTACTTTTTCAGAATTGAATATTAAAAATTTCAATTTTTCTTTTTGAGAATTGTAAATTTCAAATTTTACTCATTGAAAATTGAAATTTAAAAATTTTAATTTTCAAAGCGTAAAATTTGAAATTGAAATTTTCAATTTTACTTTTAAATAATTGAAAATTTAAGTTTTACATTCGAAGGGGAAATTCAAAATTTGTTTTAATTTTTTGAAAGTAAATTGAAACGTTGAATTTCAAAAAATTAAAACAAATTTTAAATTTCCCCTTCGAAAGTTGAATATCAAAAGTTTGAATTTTTCTTTTTTTTGATAATTGAAAATGACTATTTTATTTTTCCAAAATAATTCTAGTATAATAATTTCTTTTTCGATTGA